CGCCCTGCAGCAGCGCTCGGTCTGCGGAGGGGGAGAGGAGGGGCGTCAGTGGGTGCGCGCAGCCCTTGCTCCGTCCCACGCCCCGCTCCACCTTCCCCATCCTCTGGCTGAGCTGAGTATGCACCTTCACGGGTAGAATTCAGGGGCACGGTCGGACCCCAGCACCACCAGCACCCCTCTGTGCATCCTGCGCTTGTGTTTTCTGGGTGACCCCACCTCGCCTCCACACCTTGAGTTGAACTGAACAGGGTTCAGCCCCCACCCCACTGCGCATCTCCCCGCCCCATCTGCTCTCACAATTCGGTGGCCCCTGTCCTCGTGCTGGACTGCACAGGGGCACTGACACCCACTACGGGCAGTGCTCGCCTCCTCCCTGAGCCCCGAGCCTTCCGGTCCTCATCCTTTAGCTGAGCTGTTATGGGTCCCTACCCAAAACCCCCATATTCAGTCTTTGAGCCTCAGGACTCTTCCCAAACAACCTCCTTTCTTCTAGCTGCAGATCTATTTCTCCATCTAAGAAACTGAAGGTGTGGTGGTGCACACACCTACCATCCCAGCATTCTGGGAGGCTGAGGCAGGAGGATCGGAAATTTCTACCCAACACGGGCAATTAAGCAAGAAGCAAGATTCACTAAAAAAAAAAAAAAAAATCCTAGCCATGTATGGTGGCGCACGCCTGTCATCCCAGCAATGGGAGGCTGAGGCAGGAGGATCGCTGTGAGTTCAAGACCAGCCTGGGCTACATAGTGAGTTCCAGGTCAGTCTCAAGTACACAGTGAGACCCTGTCTCAAAAAAAAAAAAAAAAATCCAAAACTAAAGAAAACAAGGCTGGAGACCTGGCTCAGTGCGGAAGCCCTGGGAGCAGCCCTCAGTACAGGGTGGAGAACGAAGGAGAGAGCATTTCGGGCTTCTCAGCACTAAGGACTACCATTCGCAAAGCCCGTGTGGGACCCCATCCTGTGGGTGGCTGCAGGCACTGTCCGGTCCACCCCTCTTACTGTGTGAGAGGTAGGGAGGGTGGAGATGTGGACAAGAGAGAGGGAGACAAAAAACAACATCCTCTCTGCCTCCCTTGTTTGCCCAACTTTGGACTCAGGTCAGATTCCCAGCTCCCCTGGACAGCTGGCCCTGTCCAGCAGTGCCACTCAGAGAGCAGGACAAACACTGGCAGTGCCCATGGAGGAAGGGAGGTGGCGGCCAGGCACAGGGCTTCAGGAGGAGGTTGTGAATGGAGTGCCTGCCTGACAGGAGAGGCCCACACACCTGGCAGGGGGAGAGAAGGAGCTTTCTGGGAGGCCTGAGGAGGAGGGACTTTCGTTGCCCTGGGGGTGAGGCTTTTTCCACTGGGGGTGTCTCAGACACCACACAAACCCCAGCTCTGAGCCTGGCTTTGCCACTTTTATCCCTGCCAGGCCCCTGCTCTCTGCTTCAGTTTCCCTGTCTCAGACTGAACTGAAAAGGTGGGCATTTGGGGACACCTAGGGAGCCAGATTCTGTGTTCCTTCAGCCCAGGAATGGGACACGGGTGAGCGGAACCGTGCTGTGGGGTTAGATGCAAGCCCAGCTCATTTCTGGGGCTTAAAATTCCACCATGAAGCTGGGCAACTTAGTGAGACTCTGCCCCAAGATAAAAAAATATAAAAAAGTCTGGGGAGTGGTGGCACACACCTAAAATCTCAGTACTTGGAAGCTGAGGCAGGGGGATCCCTGTGAGTTCCAGGCCAGTCTGAACTACATAGTGAGAACCTGTCTCCAAAAAAACAAAAACAAAAACAAAACCTGGGGATGGACCCTGAATTTTCCTGCAGGATGGAAAAAGAATTTTACCATGTTTCCTCCCCAAAGGTGATCTAGGGGTTGTCAGATAACACACTGGTGGAGTTAAACTTGAATTTCACTGGAGCAACAGATAATCTGTCTGTCCCTGTCTTTGTCCAGCAGGGTTGGGTATTTACAAGGGGTCTGGAAAAACAGATCCACCCCCATCCACCACCCTAGACTTTTTGTCCAGCCTCGCATAAAGATGCACTCCTATCGCTGGGTACTTAGGAGGTTGAGGCAGAAGGGTGCAAGTTTGAGCCCAGACAGAGCAACTCAGTGAGATCCTGTCTCAAAAAATAAAAAATTTAGGGCCAGGGATTTAGCTCAGTGATTCCACCACCTGCCTCACAAGTGCAATTTCCCAAGTTTGACTCAAAAGGGCCAGGGATGTATGTGGCTCACTGCAAAGGCCCTGTATTCCATCCCCAGTATGAAGAAGGGGGGAGGGAAAAGGACGAGAAGAAAAACAACCCTCTTCTGTGCTCAGGGCGGGGCCTCCAGGATCTGGGGGGACCAGCAGCCACTGCATTCCCCCATAGGCAGGGTCCAGGAGCAGGACACGAGAGAGGCAGGCACCTGCCCTGGGCTCCTGCCTTGCCCTCAGGTCCTGGTCCTGCAGGCTGGCTTAGGTCTGGGGACCCAGTGTCCTCAGAATGATGTCGCCGCCGTTCACAGGAGGGTGGGGCCTCAGGATGTAGGGAGTAGAACTCGTGCCCGAGGCCACACTTGTCCATTGTGAAGACAAGAAAGGAGGATTGTGTGGGCCCCAGCAGGAGAGCGAGCGGAGACGTGCCCTCGCCCACACCCCCACGTGCCTCACCTGCCTCTGTGCCCGCCACCCGCGTGGACACGTGCACATGGGGTCAGGGCCCACACAGCCTGCGGCCGGCCGGGCACCAGGGCTGAGTGAGGAGTTGGGAAAAGGCTGTGCCCTGAGGTGAGCGTTTGACAGCTCTTACCCAGGACTGGGGGTCTCTCTCTGTACATCTCCCCAACTTGGGTCCCTCTGCCCATCCCCAGATCTCCCCTCTGTCTCCCTCCCCTTGGTCCCTGACACCCGGGCAGGTCACCCTGAGATCTGCCTCCCTCTCTCTGTTCCCCCACTGTGCTGCAGGGCCGGGCTGATCGCCAGGTCTAATCTCCATCTGGCCCCCATGGCCCCTTAATTCCTTGTGACAGCCAAGCTGAGGGACCCCTTCGCCAGCAGCCAACCAACCTCCCCTGCCAATCCCGCGGGGGGATTTACACCCACCTCCCCCTGTGGAGTCTAAAAGCCAAAGCTTGAGAATCCCCTGCGATGGCCACCCCAGGGCAGGGCACGCTTACACTGGGCCAGGCGGGCGATGCGGGCGTCCAGGGTGCGCGGGGGGCGGCGCAAAAAAAAAACCAGATGGACAGCACAGAGCTACAGAGTACGGAAGCCAGGGCCGCCGCCTTCCAGCGCTGCATCCTTGGCCTGCGGGCACGGGGGAGTCAGCCGCAGCCCTCTGGGTCTCTTTGGTGACAAGTGGGGTGCGGGGCGCTGCAAACAGTGGGGCCCCTACCTTTGAGCACCCCATGCTTAATGATCATTAGTAACACTGAAATGATTCATCCAGAAGCCATGGAACACGCCGCTGAGGTACTGCCAGGGATGGGGCGGGCTCTGTGCCAGGGCAAAAGGGGAGCCACCCCCTCCCAGGGTCCGGGAGCGTTTTCCTAAGAAGTTCGTGGTAGAGTCCAGACTTGAACAAGGGTGGGAGTTGGCCAGGCACCTGAGCAAAGTGTCTGGGGCAGGAAAGGAGGGCGGAACGGTGCAAAGGCCCAGAGGCCCAAACCAGCTGGTGTAACCCGCAAGTGGAGGAGGCCGGGAGGGCTTCCGGCAGGTGGCGGTAGAGGACAGGGGCGGGCGGAACCTGGGCTGACTTTGCCCTACTTATGCCCTTGAATGACGCCTTGTCCGTCTCCGAGCCTGTTTCCCCTCCAGAGGGATAAACCAGGGCTCTAGAGTGGGCAGCAACGCGCAGGGCCACCCCCAGGCGATCCCCCACCTATTCCCTTCCCACAGCGCCCCCTCCGGGGAGCCCCTCCCACGAAGACAGGTTACAGCGAGGAGCTCGCCGCATGCAGTCGGCGTTTAATAACTGCCGCGCACCCCCTCCGGGGCCCCGGCCGCCTTTGGTTTACATTCCCGCCGGCCGCCTGGGGTCGCGGAGCCTGGCCGCCGGCC